CAAGTAGAGAGAATGATTATGAAAAAAAAAAATCCTCCACTGAGCTGAGTCACTCAGTGGAATCAGGTAATAAAGACTCAAACCGAAGATTTTATTTATATATTTTTTCTAAAGCTGTTGGAGAATGTCCTCATTCGGTCGTTATTTTGGAAAGTCAGAAAATAAATTACGTGATAGATACAGGAAGTCAAATTTCCATAAAGGTTTTTCATATAAAATCACATTTAGTACAGACACTAATGACTGGATGGAAGTCAAATGGACTATCAGTATCCTATCCTGGATATGGGATACAAAATTTCTTAATTAGGATATTTGATTGCAAAGGATCCACGAAATTAAATTATGAAATTGAATGCTCGTGGAAATATTGGAATAATGTGCTTGGCGAAATTTGACAGTTGCTGTTGAAGAAATATAGCAATGCATTTGAAATTAAACTTTCCTTGTATCATTTGATGTGGAAATACATATCGGCATTTTTCAAAGTTGAAGTAAGAATGTATTTGAAGGAATCAAGTGTAAACTTAGGATATGCTTAATTGGATTAATAAGAAAATTCCGGGAGTTTCAAGTAAAATGTACAGTTGACACATAAAAAAAGAATTAATTACCTTACATTACTATGATTGAACCACTTTCAGTGAACGAGTATCATTTGCTAGCAGAGGGTTGAGTACCTTATATTAAAATTATTTTGAATATGCAAATCAAAACGTCATGTGACAACCACAGGCGATATAAAGTCCCGGTAAAACAGACTGTAACAGCTATATTTTGGCATTTTGTAGATCGTGTAATGCATCATAAATTGATTACTTTTAGAAGGGTATGTAACAGCCTGTTCCGACACAAAATATTCATACTTTTATATCAAAAACATGTATTCAGGTCAGAACGTCCAATTTAATTAATGGCACTTGAAAACAAAGGAATATAAATCAACTTAGAGTACCAGGACTATTAAGGAGACCTGCAATAAGTCTTAACCCTGTAAAGGTAAGCAAAATGTGGCATTTTGCAACTGCTAGGAATCCACGAACACAAAGGTCTGAGACAAAAGCTGTCCGGCCATCTCTGTGTTACAGGCAACAATACGCAATTTAATCAAGAAGTATATCCATTTGGAAAAATGACATAAGTTGCTTCCATGACATATTAGTTCAACTGTCACATACCTCAAGCTGCTGGAGAATGAAGCTGATTTCATGGTTTTACATATGAAGAAATACCAATCATGTCCTTTGGATTCCTGTATTATTGGACTGTTTTAATGGGCACTTGGAAACCATTGTCTTGTACATTAGATGGATTGTGGAAAGCTTCACAGAGGTGTGCCAGCCTTCACGGCTATTGTCAAGATATAAGGTCATCAGATAGAGCAAGACTGGATATGGCAACTTGGAATGTAATGATACTGTAAGGCTCCAAAATCATTTTAGTACAATGTTTTCAAGCTGTGTATATGATGGTGTATACTACAGTAACTCATAGAGTTACATCAGTTTGTATTCCTAATTTTAATGAAAAAGATGCTTGGTTACATCCTAACATGAGGATCAAAAAACTTTGTAGTGTTGAATTGGAATCTCTGGTGCATAATTATAAAACATGAGTCAAGTCTTCATATGAAATTAGAAAACTTCTGCAGCTTTTAGAAAAAAAATACTGCAACATGTGTAGCCTTAGCTACAATGACCTGGAATATTGTGTGAGTGTTTATTATAGCAAAGCCACATCAGTATATCTGCTGTTTCCACTGTGGGGAATTGAACCCCTGATTTTAGCATTGTAAATCTGAAGATTTACCACTGTCCCACCAGGGGACTGGATTATTGTGACATGGTGCTTTATAGAATTTTTACTAAAGGTGATGTTCCAAACAAATTACCTCATCAAAGAATTTTACTATATCAAATTCCAGACATTAGAAACTCTACAAACCAATGGCATTATCCATGATATTAGAAGTTTGTATGACAGTTCAATGGTAAATGTGAGGAATAAAAGATGGAACCTTATGTTTGTGTTATGATCATCAATTTCTGAATGCAAAAACCAAGTTATCCTTTACCAAGAACAGACAAAGTTTTAGAGTTTTTAAAAGGAGTTAAATAGTTAAATTTAGATTTGGCACAGTTACTTATGAGCATCTATTCATAAGGGTAAAATATATATAAAACTGCCATTTGAGTAGGATAAGGTAGACTCTATGAATTTTTGAGAATGCCCGAAAGATTTCAGAAACTATGGTTATTATGCTTAGGGATCACAAGTTTTTGTTTTTAGATGACGTGACATATTGATATTTTGTTCGTACTGCCAAAGAACATTCGGAAAGGCTTAGTTTTTAAAAGATTGGGCAAATATAATATAAAATTGAAGACTGAAATTCTATCTCAAACATAATTACCAACATTGCTTTCATACATCTAGCAACTTTGGAGAATATTACACATATTCACTTCCCAATACCATTTTTCCTGAATGGTATGATAATCCTACACATCAGAAAGTTCACAGTCCCTACCATGCATAATTTTGAGTCTTCGCATCTGGTCATAATCTAAAAAGGTAACTTTTATTAAAAGCAATAAAATGTTACTCCATTGATAAACACAAGGGTCAACATGAAAATTCATAAATTGGTCAGTATAGAGATGTTTCTCCTAGTGCAAAAATACCACCTTGTATGAGCTTGCTACTTAGCATTTGTAATTGAAATGACCCCCAAATGGGAAAATCTTAAACCAGAACTGTATATATATATATATATATTGGCTTTTTTATAACTTCATAAGAAGGGATAAGCATGGATTCAGATAAAATAAAAGTGGTTAGAAAACAATCAAAACCAGTAAATGCTCATCAATTGTAATAATTTTTAGGTTTAACAGCCCATTACTGTCACTTTGTGTCAGATTAATCAAAAATAGCTGCTCCCTAATATGTTCAAGTTCAGGGGTTCTCAATTTTTTTGCTTGGCTGTGATTAAAAAAGCTCCTCAACTGAAGATAAAATTAACATTGGGGCATTTGATGGAATCTAAGCCCTTATAAAATCTTCCAATGGATTATACTTCACTTGAAAAATTTGTGAATGGTATTAAAAATGTTTTAATTCTTACTAATATTTTCACACAACTTACAGAAACCTGTCTTACAAGAGAGCAAAAAGCAACATATGATAAAGGCAGTTGATTATAAGAAAAGAATTTGAGACTTTACAGTATATGACACCCAAATTGTGTAGTTTTTGGTTCTTCTTAAGAACACAAACTTCAAAAATGAAATTAAAGATAAATGGAATCCTTCTTCTTATTTAGTTACTCAGTGAAGGGTCATTGTTTATACTGTGCAGCTAGCCGATGGTACGGGCAAAGTTAAAAATAAAAGTAGAATGTAAATCTTGGATTGTGATCAATTTTATTCTGGTAGGAAGAAGTGAGGAAGACCATAAAAAATAAAACAAAAAAGCTTGAATTTGAAATTGTACGATGAAACAACTGATAAAATTTTATGTAACAATAATTTTGGAATGATAATAACTTGTTTGGGAACTTATAACTATGAGAGTTCATCTCACAGCAAAGCCAGAAAATATTTGAATTGGTTCCACGAACCAAGGTCCGTATTATAAAAATGGTTAACTTCATGTGAATCATCTGAAAACATGTTATTGTGTCTGTAACTTCAGTTACAAGTCTAGGGCAAGCAGTGCTACCTGCATGGGATACTGACAAACAATAACGTCTTTTAAGGTGGGTTTACGAGGACAGTAAACCCTTAGTGGGGAAATACGTAAAATGATATGAGCAGTTTAGTTAATTTATTTCATGTGTCCCTCATTTTCATAGTGAAAGATGTTTCCTCCAGTATGTTTCAGTATTATATGTATTAATGCAGTGAATCTGTCATGTTCTGAACTGTAACTGCACATTGCCTGTGTTGCTCATTAACAAATGGAGCCACGTTTCAGTTTTGACAAGGTCATCTTTGTACTTTCATAGCTTGTTAACATGTTTTTTTCTTTTCTTATTGTGAACAAAACAACATTTTCTCCAGAGCTGTCTTCTCTGTGAAGTGGATTGCTGCATTTGAGTTTGGCTGTTACAGTTATTCATTAATTACTGTACAAAAACCAACAACAACATCAACAAAAAAAACAAACAAGAACAGTTCACATTGAAGGTAGTGCTTTATCAAATTTGGCTTTTCAGTTGAGTCCATTTATATCTTACTCTCCTTATAAGTTCAAAAGTCATAAATTAAACCTAATATAAAAAATTCAAGTTTAAAGTTTAGCTTTATATGGTAGTTATATGGTATGTTAATTTCCACAACAGATGCAAAAAAAGCAAATTATTTTTTAAATTGTTTTATTAAAATGCATTTTGCTGTATTAAATTTGTCACATAAAAGCACAAATATTTACAAATATATATATATATCTACGTTAAAAAAAAATTTGTAACATTAATTTTTGGGCCCATATCCCTAACATATCACATAATAGTAAACAAGTTTTGAATTCACATCCTTGTACATATTACTGTAAGTTTTATTTAAAAAAAGAGGTTTAAGAATTATCAATATACTGGTCTGATCTAACTTATGTACATTTACATCGTTCAGTTTTTTTGCATAGTCACAAACTGTGTAAATACTTGTAATCTATCTGCAAGAATATTCATCTTAGTTTATACTTACATCATGAAAAATATTCAACACTAAGATGATAAAATCACAATCCTAAAAGATGCATATCTGTATCACACCTCTGAAAGTATATTTAAGATCACAATAGATCAAATTTTTTATAAGAAATCAAAGCAATCATTAAAATATACTGAATATACATGCTATTTTCTTTAGTAGAAAAAAAGCATGTTATTTCTGTCAGTGTCTCCTTACCCAATACACTGTTTAATTATGTGTTTTATTTTAGCATATCCTTTGAGATTAATTTGAACCTCATTTCTAGTGGTTCAAACTTTGAGCCATAACTCCATTTTTTATATCAGTGCTGGATATGTTTGACTTAGTTAAAAAAAAAGAAAAAAAAAAGGTTGTGAGGCTGACTTTTTTAAAAAACTGAATCATGAGTTTGAAGAAGCCACAAATTATATTCTCGAGGGTGAGCCTTCTGAAACTTCTTAAGCCAGGCCTTTTTCTCTTTCTCTGAAACCTGACTGCTGTTTAGGATTGTTGACAGCAGTTGTTGCAAAGCCTGGGTGGTTATAATACTATGATGTTCCCTGAAGACTTTCTCTGAGACTTGCTGACAGAAAACTGGACCTGAGTGATCATAAAATGACAGTTTAACTTTATTTTTAAAAGAAAACATGGCCTAGAGTATCTAGAAAAGACTTTAATGTTTAGATGTTAGAAATAAAATTCTGCATGAAGATGGTTAAAAGAGAGAGTTGAAAATTTACTTTATGAATATTGAACCTGGAAGTCAAAATTTGGTCAAGTTACTTTTATATCAAATAATCAAGCAACTTTCATATTTGAATTATTTATTCACTTTGATATAATATAATAAATCACATTTTAAAATAATGCTATTAAATTATTTTTATAAACCTATTTATCTTAAGTAATTATATAATCAAGACAGACAGGCTTCAAAATGTACAATATGTTTGTGAGATAAGTATTAAATGTACCATTTATTAAATAAGTTACTGAAGGTATTACAAATTTAATTACATAGCCATTTTCCCACTGCTACACTTAGCTTATATTAATCTAAAGATGTTGTGTTTGCTGGAGACTTAACAAGATGGTATCGTAACTATTTTGTGCTTGTTATAGTTTTCATGCTATAACTTTTAAATTAGTGAGCGAATGTTAACAAAATATGGCAGATTATCAATAAATATTACAGTGCTTTCATACGCAAAATATCTAATGTTTTTTATTAAGTCGTGTTTCTCTCATGCCTTTCTTTTCTTTTCTATTATTTTTATGATTAAAAATACTTTTATGTATCAATAAATTTTGAAATTTCATGTGAAATCTTTATAATGTCTGGATAGTTATCAAACATTTCTTAAGAAAAAAACTATATTTTATCTGTTATTTTCAGTAATTAATCTCTGTACAGGTTCGGTAGATTTGAATGATCTCGCAACCACCATAAAAAATTAGGAAACAAACATAAATTATGCCTCTTTCATTTTAGAATGAACAGAAATTATAACACAAAAACATAAATGTTTAGACTAAATCGCTTAAATCTCATAACATTATACATTTATATATACTTATTATTTTTATTATATTGACCTTTCACCTGTGCCTGGCTAACAATACAGAAGTTACAATGATGTGGCTCATGTGCATTCATGTTATCGTTCAAATAACATAAAACAGTCACATTTCAATTATCATACATTATGTATGTATATAGATTATTGCTATTTTGAAATAAGTTCTTAAAACATATTTTTCCTAAAACATAGAACAGTAAATAAAGAAGTACAGCAAACAATTATCTCTTCTATCTGCAACCTTTGTACTCAGTTGCTGCTTGACATAGGTTGCTGAGCCTTTAAAAATTTTGCACATGGAGGATAAGAAACAAAATATTTTTTTTTAGTTTTTATATATACATATGAATAACTAAAAAATCACAAATTACTACATCAATACCATAGAATTCAACTATAATTTATCAAGCTTAGTAACCAAGATGTATTTTACTCTACAAACATGAAATTTTGAGTAGACTAAAGACACAACCTACCTCATTGAAGTTTTGGTTCAAAAAGAAAGAAATGGCCCTGGCCATGTTAGAAAGGCTGAGAAAACCACTGCTACACTTAGCTTATATTAATCTAAAGATATTGTGTTTGCTGGAGACTTAACGAGATGGCATCGTAACTATTTTGTGCTTGTTATATAACCAAGCTTCTGATTGGTTATTCATGTCATGTACAGAAGTAAGTGTATAAAAGGGAGTGTTTCCAAAAATGGAAAGAGGTGGGCAGGGTGCCACTGTGTTTGATTTATTACATGAGCATTATCTTAGCAAATAGAAAAGATAAGACTTGTATTGTGACTTCACAAACATCTAAATTGAACCAGTGCTGCATTCAACATACCACGTGACACACAAAAATCGATTATTATTTGTTTTTTAAATATTTAATTTAAATTATGAAATTGGGTAATGTATAGTTTATAATTTGAATGATAATCTACAGTCTGATACCAAACTTATTGACATAAATCCATGAAATATTAGTTCAATAAAATTTTGAATGCGAGTCAACAAATGAGATGACATGGCCTTTTAGCTGTGACCTGTCTCGAAATGGTTCGCTTTTTATATAAAATAATTTCAAAAATATTTTAAAAACATCCAGTGTTGTGATCTAGTCAGCCACTGTCAATATTAAGCCTTTTTAACTGGTTCACTTGTATGAAGAGTTGACAGCTTACCATGCAGTGATGTATAGTTCACAAATATTACATGTATTTACCAAATAAAATAAAGTGATAGGTAGCTGGATAAAATTATATTTTATGGAAAAGGTTACATCTCTAAAGAATGTTTCCTTGAAATGTTCAAGTATCTAACCACAATTAATTCAGGACTGCAGGAACATCCAGATATTTTCATCTGATTCATAAGTTTGTTTGTTGTTAAGCCCAAAACTATACAATAAGCTATCTGTGCTGTGTCCACTTCAGGTACTGAAACTCAGTTTATAGCATTATAAGTCTTCAGACTTACCACTGAGCTACTGGGGGACTGATTCATAAGAAGCATAAATATCCACTTAAATCTACTAAATTTCTTTCATAACTATTAAATCAAATTATTACAAAAAAAGCAAGAAGTTAACAACTGGACAGCCAGTACAGTTTCCATCAGAATCTATCCTCATGTGACATTGTTCAAATAAGTGTCCAGTAAAATGTTGATTGTACTGTAAAAAAGTAGCTCTAAAACTTAAGTATATCATTATTAGATGCTAAATCAGTCCTTGGCAAAATTTCAGTTATCTTTGGTAATGCTTGAATTTTCCATAAGAGTCAAATTTAACTGATGCTTCACAGATTTTATGAATTCAAAAAACACATATCAAAAAGCATATCATGACACACAGTAGTGTGTTGTGTGGCCAAAACAACTTGCAGAACACACAGTGTTAGGAGTGATAGTTTAGTGATTTTCCACCTTCTGTAGCTCAGACTGGTAATCCAAACCATCACACATTTTCAGAATATGTGCTCTAATGGACCCTTACTTTACATACCAAATTTCAAGGCAATCCATTAAGAAATACATGAGATATAAAATCTCCAATTTTGATTGAAATTCTTCTATTTTTCTTGCTTTGCAACAAAAGTATGGAAACTTTATTTGATATAAAAAAAACATCCTTAACTTTATGGATTTTTTCCAATTTTGGTAGAATAATAGATCTTTACAACCTACAATTAGGTGTCTAATTTGGTCTAAATATAAGCCACAGGTGCAAAGTTATTCAACAAAAAACACTCAATTGTGACCAAAATTTTTGCACACACCTATGTAAAAAGTAGCACAAGCTATTGGTCTAAAAGTTTTATTACAGCTTCACCTAAGAGTAAAAGTGGACCATTTTTAGTTTTATGTTATTTAGATTAAAGGTGGCTGATTTAGAGCATCAAAACTGTAGGGTGAAAGCATGTGTAGATACATAAGTATTGGTTAGGTCAAGCAAACTAGATTAGCGGTTTCTTGCTCAAGTTTTCAAAAGAATCATAAGGGTGGATGGTTATTGTTTATTGCCAACTTTTAAGTACAAATTTGCAAAATTGTATGAACTTTTCCTAATTAAAGAGTATTTAGTGTCACGTGATGGTAACTTAAGCAATTAGCATAAATAATGATGTTTGATACAGCTCTACCGAGTGCATATGGATGATGACAAGAAACTGTTAAATCTAGATTCCATGTCGTTACTGTAAAGGAATTCAAATTCGATGATGAGGAACCCACTTTGAGACTAATAATGGTTGGAGACGGCTTGAATGGGTAATGAAGAAAAACTTTAATACAAGTTTAACACAACAGCAAATGTACAACGTTTCGACAAAGTTTTGTCATCATTAGGTACATTTGCTGTTATATTATACTTGTATTAAAGTTTTTCTTCATTACCCATTCAAGCCGTCTCCAACCATTATTAGTCTCAAAGGGGGATCCTCATCATCGATTTTGAATTTTTTTACTGTAACGATATGGAATCTTGTTTTTACAGTTT